GGGGCAGGGTATGTTTTAAGTGGTCAGTAATAATATAAGGGTGTATCAATCTAATGATATTTTATATGAAATGAATAGGAAAAAGAAAAAAAATATGCAGTGCCAAGATGTAAAGAATATTGTTAAATGCTGTTTTTTTTTTTTTTGTTTGTTTTTTTTGAAAAGTTCATTTCACTCGCGCATCCAAGATGTGTCCTTCTCATCCATGTCATGTAGGTAAAACACACATTTTGTTTGGCATCAAGATATTTATATTTTTATCTCAAGAGTCATTGTAAATGAGTCAAACGAAGCACAGCGGGCGGGTCAACGGTCGGACGCCGCTGGAGACTTAACGTCCTGCAGAAACTGCAGCCGTGTGGCATCAGATTCCCCCCCCCCAACATCACACACCGGCACCCGAGCTAAAAACGCCATAGTTTCATCCATCAACCAACCATCCAGCCCGCTGTCATCCCGTCCCCCTCTCTCTCACCACACTTTTCTCCAGATGGAGGGGGAGGGAGGGAGGGAGGGGGGGGGGGGGCAGCCAGCCCAGGAGCTGTCACAGAGCTCTCATCCCGCAGCAGCTTTTCTTTCTTTCTCTTTCTCTTTTCTTTGAAGATGTACTCTGTAGTTTCTTTTTCCCTGTTTTTTTTTTTTTTTTTTATATATAGAGAAATATTATTGCTCATCACTTCCATCAGTCTGTAACCTCCTCACTCATCATCTTTCCTCGTCTGTCTGATACGGACCACTCTGTTGTAGTCAGTGGCGATGACTGACGTGAGCATTCTAAACATGCAATAAAATGCTGGTTGTTCTGATCCGTCTGCTCCATGTCTCTGCTTGTTTCTAACGGGTTCTGCGCAGTGTGGCACCGCGGAGCTGCACATCCTAACGTACAGATATGCAGAATTAAGGAGTCATCTTAAGTTCAAGAACATTTACTTTTGATTTTTAATTTGCATGTGGAAGATGCACTTAGAAGGCTTCACTATGCAAAACACAGGCTTTGTGTGCAGCTGCAGTTGACGGTAAAGTAAGTTAATGCATCGAGAGTTAAGAAAATGCATTACACAACCTCGCATTACCAGATATATATCATCATGTGAACGAAAGCGGAACATGAATAACCGCCCTTTTTCTTATCATTTTGGCCCCGAAGAACTGCTTCATACAGACCTGTTTGTCATCCGCGCCAGGACTCATCAGCCTCAACATTAAATTGTATCGTAATTAAAAGGAGACAGTTAAACTGTCTTTTCCTAACAGCAATTTAGGTAACTGCATTTGATAAGCTATAAATTGTAACGGCATTAAAATTCCAGAAATAATAGAGGTATGGATTTGGTGACGGGAGCTAATGCTGATGACCAGGACTTGTGTTTTTACGACGGAGGCACAGGTCATGTTGGCCACTAAACAGCAGACAGAGATCAAGTCTAAGCACTTTTAATCTTGTGAAACAAGCAATTACAAATAGTTGCATTGATTTGTTAAAAAGCTTTAGGTGACATAAATCGTTTCTTGCTTAGCCTATTGCTGGAAAACATAAATGTCAAGTGTATTATTAATTAAGGCCTTTGAAAGACAAGATTTAATGGAAACGATATAAAATCACAAGCAATCTCTCTGTCGGCAGTATTTCACCGGACGTTAAGGATTCATGTATATATCAGTGTTGTTGTGGTGACACTGATCACAAACTGGATCAGACAACATAAAGTTAGAGGGAACACACGCAGTAATAGAAGGTGTTTGAAAAATCCCCCGGAGCAGAAGCATTCACATAAATTAATCAGTAACTTACAGAAAGGCATTAACATATGATATTATTATAGATCATAAACGGGGATGAAATATGATGTGAACAGTGGGTCTCATTGGATGTATTAATGCAGTGACATGTTCAGTTCAATACTAATTCTCTACACATAAATCTGATTCTCCTTGCAGACCACTGACAACAAACCAGTAGAACTTATACAAAACTTGA